AGGTTGAATTACTAATACCCCTATTTCTTACCTGAGTTCAGTCTCGGTAGGACGAAGCTGAGACGTGTCTGGAATAGTCCTTACGGTCAAGGCTAGATGACGGAGACTATAATTCGCTTCCCTTGTTTGGAAAGTCTAGGTATGGGAGTAGATTGCTACCCTGCTCCCGTGCGACCCGTAATTCTGGAAGCTCGTCGGGCAAGATCGGAAGCGGAGATGGTAAATTCGTCAGAGATTGAAGCTTAAACAAAGGAATTTCTGCAAAGCTAAATGTGAGATTTTATGAGCACAAGAGTAGCCGCGCTGGGTCGAATATAATGTACCAGCATGGTCTCTCTTAATCCATCTCATTCCCCTACATATAGCCATACATCATACCTTCCGCTTGTGCAAGAGTGCCCATTGAAGGATTAATGTCTCGTTTTATTGAATTCACGACTCAAGAGTGTCCACTATAAATCAGTAAAGAGAATGCCTAGATTTGCCGCCATGAGCGCTGCTGGCGGTGAGAATCGACAAGTGTAGATGTTTCGGTGATCATGGGGTGACAGCTTCTCCATCAGAGTGCCATGAGGGGTTGATAAACTGCTGGCAGCATGAGTCGAGCTACGTCCCTTTTGTGTCTTCTCGTCCTTCCAGCTCCCCTTTCGCTTGTTCCATCTCGTAGTGCCCCCCTTTTTTGCATCAGATTTTGATTGCGTGTGCAGCTATCTAGCAATGACACAATATCAGAGAACTGTAAAATAGATGACTCAATATACAAGAAGAGCACTCATGCCTCAGATTTCATTTGCAAGTACCACTGCGAAGTTATGGCGGCTTTTTCTTCACCCCAAGTCAACCCTCATCCATAAATACCAACCCAGGGGAACGTCCCAAAACCCCTGAGTTATCCAAAAATGCCTCCAACCATTTAATTTTCTCCGCGCGAAAGTGATCTGAGATGTCTCCTTCCCAAGTGGAATAGGTGCCCAGGCTACTCAGACTATACCGGAGAACATCACCAGGAGGCAGACCGCAACACCTTCCATCGTTTGCTTGTTTTTATACTGTCAACTGCACTCTCGCAAGCGAAGTCTTGGCGCACACAAATCTCAATTCGTAAAACTCTTGCCAAAACTCAAAATAACACACCCGTCGAGCTTGTATCCTTCCTTTGCATCAGCTTGTGAACTTGTCCTGATCCCTCTCACGTCCATCCCAAAGAGCTGTCTCCCACATTTGTGCTCCACGCTTTGCTTCCTCCGTCGGGTGTAAATATAGACGTGGACGTGTATTTTGGCGACCAGTTGAAGCCAGAGAGAGTCGACGAGAGGTGTGGTCATTGGGATGAGGATATAATTGGTCGTACTTGTAGGCTTGATGAGACTTAGGTAGGAGTCTAACTCGTTGGGTGTGAAAAACGACGTGGAGGAGTATTTTGAATCATCGCCTCGTGGGCCAACTTCTTTGATATTGCGAAATTTGGCTGAACTTGGCTCTAAGAGAGTATTTCACTCCCAGGTTCGTAGAGGACACCGCGTACAGGTGTTCAGTCTTGCCCTCCTCGTGTTGTCCCCACAGGCTTGGGTCGCCGGGCCGGGCCTTATCTCAAGTGGTGGTTGGCAACATCGAAATTGTCGGCAGTCCCGAAGCGGCCTAAGATAGAGTTTGGGAGACGAACGGTGAAGCCAGACTAACCAGTCGGATTTACCTTGGGAAGTCCAAGGTGATAGTCCTCGCATGAAGGCTAATAGAGAAGGCCTGGTTGCACTGCACGTCATCGCCGAGGAAGTCGGACCCTTGCATTGAACGACGAGTTTGGTGCGGCCAGACCCCTGTAGGCTCACCCAAAACTGATCCGTATTAGGGCATGGAAGATATACTAGTGTGGTCAAAATGGCCTCATGGCGTTCGAAATTGGCGGGAATGTAGCCGTGGCGTACCGAGGAGCCATCTGCTGGCCAGCTGTAAAATGGCCCGTTACCAGTGTGGACCCCAAAAATTGCCATCGCTTCTCATACCCTCTGCTTTTGCCCTGACGTGGGAATCCCTTGCTAATTCGGGCAGCGTGACGTATAAAGCCATGTATCAGTCACTATGCACTCGCAATACAGTTCCCTCTAAGGCAACCTCAGACCACAAGCCAAATATCAGTCACCCATGTGTGCTTGTTGAGATAGGTCGCCTCGAAACTAGAGAATACAATATCTGATGGGTTGCATAGCAGAGAAGTGGATTTAAGAGCTCGATATGGGCAAGTATGCAGTAGCGCAAGAGTCATCCATTTCTCATTAGACACGGTCCACCAATGCTTGGTCCACAAGGGGATGGCAGGAACCCTATAATTCTGACCACGGGCCTGAAGTTTATGGTCGCCCTTGTGATTAAGCCGTTTTCATTTTATGAATTCATCAGAGTCACAGTAACTAGCATCAATCATTCCAAGCTTTGAATCAGCGACTAATCATTGTGCGGATGCGTGGTCTCGCAAATTCTTTGAAGCCTGTAACTTGATTCGACGTGAATGCTTTTCGTACCAGGGCTATGCCCTACACGCACGGGGCGTGATGTGGATGTTTGGTCCCCCAGGCCTCATATTAACCTACGTAACCAAGCCTATTGTGGTTGGAGGAAAATAGAGGATATTAACTATGATAGTTTGCGACAACAGCGCCCTACCTCGTCTCCGCCTCTCATCCACCCGCACAGAAAAATAAAATGACTTTTATTTTGATTTGATTTGATTTAGCCCATGCAGGTATATATAGCTATAATATCTACCAGGCAGGAAACCAATTCGGTAAGACCCCCTCAAAACTGTCTGTCTCGTGTCTATTGGAATTCTGAGGCTTACTGTGGGAAGTGCGTTTACACTGTTCATAAAGTGTGAGTTCCGTTCCATCCTTGTCCACATCGTCTCATCTTCTCGTCCAATGCTATTTCTACATCTCCTGCAACCGGAATGGTTCAAACCAGCCTTTTGCAAGGATCCATTCTGTGATTCTCTCGATATCATCTGGGCTGTTCATCATTGCCGTAAAGCACCTATATTTTGCCTTTCGAAGCACCTCTTCTCTTCCAATTGCCCACGGAGGACACGCTAAGACCAAATTTTTGACATCTTGAGACGGATATCCGCACTGAAATTTTGGATTAATCACTCCGGGGGCTTTCCTTCGATACAGATAAGAGTTGAACCTAATGTGCTCGCTTCTTATCTGAACAGAAATGCTGCCAAGGTTCCGGTGGATATTTGAGGGTGTGTTTCCACATGTAATCCTTTTTCTGCCTGTTGTCTCATCTGTAACAATATTTGCGGCCCTCCAATGTTCAGGGTCTGCCGAAGCTCGATAACCAGATAGTTTCTCGTTCCCTGGACCTGTCCATGAGTTTTTCCACTCTTGGAACGCGGCCACCTAACCGGCTTCTTCTTACCTCCCTTTCGCATTCTCCATGCCACAAGTTCTGGTCCATTCTTAATTTTATTCTTGGGAATCTCAGTGGTGATCCTTAAAACCCTGTAAAATACCAACAAAGCCATAATATTTGGTTGTTATCAAGAAGTGCAAAAACATTGCCAACTCCCATCTCCAATCATCGTTTTAATCCATGAAGAGGCTTTCTGCTCACAGTTTCTCTAGCATTGAAAAGACAGCTGGCTGTCTGCAGAGTACCATGGCCAATTCTCTTGACCGCAAGCCTGAGGTTTCTTGTGCACGTTAGTAAGAATTAAATGATAAATGTTGACTGTGAAATTCACGGATGTCTCGTGGCTCCGACTACGACAGTCCATATGTATATAGAGCTTGAGACTAGGTGTAAACTTGTATTTATATTAACGTTCCAACACCTCCTTGAATTCATGAAATTCCCCAACTCCAGATAATGTAATGATCAATCATACACGGCAAAGTAAAGTATCAGAACACAGTAGTGGAAGAGTGGGGCGCTTAGCCGCCCCGATCGCAACTCTAGAATGCGAGGGGTGCAATGTCGATGAGACCTTAAGACTTGGCGTCTCGCTCGGATTTGGAATTCAGAATCCTCAAGGGCAGCTCAGCTTCTCGTTCGCGGGCCAAAACCGCCAATGGTAGCCGGCAAATTCACTGTGGCCAGTTTGTACTGCGATCAGTTGATGGTATGCCCGTCTTAGAAGGAGTAGCCCTGGAGGCCGTATCCGACGCATGTGTAATTCAAGATCTTCGTAGCGTCTTGGCCGGTGCTTCTGCCACCATTTTTCCACCAGTTCCTGCCCACGCAAGTTAAATGGAAGTACCATCGCCACAAAAGTTACTGTCTTCTAGGGCTTTAAGCTTCGGTTTATGATACATCTAATGCTTTCAAGGCTCCTTAATAGTCATAGACTCAGAAAGGATGTAAAAAAATAAAAGGATTTAAAACTGAATTTGCCCGCTTATTAGCCCTTTCATTCCCAGTAATTCCGCTGTGTACGGAGACCCAGAGGAAACCTGAAACTTCTTTTTTATTGCCTGAAACTTCATGACCACCAAAACGAAATAAACGACAATCGCCTCAAATAGAAAGTTAGCTCACAATTGCACTCATTGGTAGTTTATAGATTTTTCAACTCATCTCCCAGAGCCATAAACCATCATAGCATAGCTGCCGTCTTGAAGAGATGTCAGGGGTTAGCTAGCAAAAACTCAAATTTCATTTGGATATTCCGAGAATTTACAAATATTAACATTAACTTTCTTTCCCGATGTAATAACAAAGGTTGTGTTGGTTGTTTCAACAGTGGAATCCATATCCATTAGATACGTCCGTACACTACATACTTGATTTGCAGTATCGCTAGTGGAAAGGTCTTTTTTATAATTGGTTATTTTTTGACTTCGAACCACATAGAAATATCTACATTAGCCTATATATTGTGCTAAAAAAATCCCCAAGAAACTCGACACCTATACCGCATCATCTTCATCGCCATTGGGCATGAAAAGGCAAAATTGTGAGTGATACGAACGACTGAGCAGCACTATCCGCATGCCAGCATCTCAAGCCACCACATCCCTGTAGTTTTCCATTTTCACCCGAATTGCATCTCTCCTATCTTCCAACTTTGTTTTCATGTCGTCCTTTTTCTGCTGGTAATCCGTGCTGTTCACCTTGTTTGCATCATTTTTACCTTCATTCTTTTCTCTTGCCTCTATCTTGTTTCCTGCACCAACACTAGCGTTTTTGGAGTTTTTACCATTATACAATCGATAGGCCCATCTTGCTGCCAAAAATCCACTTACACCCCAAACCCACACGGCCATACCGACACTGAAGCTGACAAATAGCATAGCCACAAGCAAAGTCACGGCAATGATAACCCAGAATAGCGTAAAAATTGTTGCAGTAGCGATCGAGAAGAGAAACGTGCTAACTACAAACGAGATAAAAAGAAGGATTGGCGTGGTCGAAAAGATGAGGTGCGACACAAAAAAAAACTACAAAAATTAGTTTGAAATAGCAATACTAGATGTATTTATATTTGAAGGTAGCTGTATGGAGCGAGAGGGTGAAGCATACAAAGAGAAAGGGCCTTTGGTGTGCGAATGAACTGGTAGCCTTGTACAACCTCTCGCGGGTAGCAGGGTCCATGAGTTGATTGATCGAGTTCAACATATTCCCAGATAATTCGTAGAAGTAATTTGTAATTGCCATTGTGAAGAGATTAATGGAGATTGTAAGAGTCTTTGGATGTGTTTCTCAGTGGATCTAGATTGGTGTGGTTGAAGGGACTTGAGCGAGTTCTGGTCTATGAGTTTCTTGAGATGGAAGAGGAGGGTTATAACCGTAGTGTTGACACACGTGCCGTGGTGTACAATAGCTTGATTGGAGAAGATGGTTAATTAGAAGTTGAGCACGAGGAAACGAAGCTTGAGCCGATGAGTAAGTGGCTGGAAGCTGGTGGTGGAGCTGCTTCTAGCTGGTGCCTCTACGTTGACTGTTACCGCCAACATCAGTACCACAGCCAAGACTTGCATTATTACTCATCCATGAACTCTCACATGCACACAACTTATCCCTTCGTTGCACCGCAGAATAGTCCAAGGAAACTTGTCAAATCTTTTTCTCCAGTCATGCCAGGCACAAGTATATCGGGCTGGCCCTTTCCTTTCATCTCGACATTGTCAGATATGGGTTGTACTTGGTTTGCGATGAGGAATAATCGTTTGATATTTCTCTTTAATACCACACCTTGTAAATTTCAACGTGTACTACTTGCAAGAAGTAGTAGACCAACTGTCATCTCGTGCGAACAAGTAGTTGGAATCAAGAGCCTATGCAAAATTCGATGCAAAAATGACATAGGTGTAAAGTAGAAAGTTGTTGCTGATGCGCGTCAATGCCTGCCCGTCTTACTTGGCGATGACCAATAGACTACTCGGGACTTGCCAATCGTCCGACCTAAAAAAATTTTGGTCAGACAGCATTGACCCTTTCACTTCATTCCAGCAATGCTAGTGTAAACGCTCTCTATGCTCTGCGAAATTGAGAAAGCAAATAAGAATCGCATCCATACTGAAGTCGTTCGCCCATATAAACTCACTTACAGTTAACGACCTCTTATTAATGTCAGTCTTACCATTGTCATGTGAGTCCTCAACCTCTACCTTTTCACACACCACCTCCCCTCATCGACCAATAAATGGGTTGTTCCAATTGCAAACGGGAGCGCGCCACCAATCGCCTGCCATCTCCCACTACAAATTTACGACACTACACATTCCCGCAAGGAGTAAGCCAGGTCATAATATACAAATATCGGGATTTGGATTTTGTAGGACCGCTGCTCTAATGGGGCTCTACAAATTGAGGGAGTTCTGACAGCTGGAACGTGGGACGAGAGAGGAAAGAGGTCATGGGTGGGAATGCCCGGACTGCCATTTTTGAGGGTGCTCTTGGGCGCCAAGGTTACGATTTAAAATGTTGCTACCGTCTCTTTAAAAGACACTACGTTTGCTTCGGTATTTATTATGAAATCAACGTGCAAGGAAACTGGAACTCTCTGCATTCCTATGGCATCTTGAACACGAGTGAGGCCGTGCCGGGTCAGTTTAACCACCGTATTGATACATAAACCTCGTCAAACCTCAGAGCCCAGCCATGTGTTGAACATGTCAAGTCCAACCGTTACGACAACCCGATTTCGACGCGCCGAAGCGCTATTTCATCCTCAACTTCAGACACGACGCGCCCGAGCCCTTCACACCCTCCAAATTTCTAATTTGTTCTCTCTGTAAAATTTAATTCATGCCTCATCTCATCCAGGGGTCGTTTTCCTCATTGTATACCTCATCCAGTCGCCCATCAAGGCCTCCTCGGTATTCTTCCCCTTGATTCCTTCATTAGAGCTTCTCCTCAATCTATCTATCATTATCGCTATCTTAGAAACTTTGTAGACTTTTATTCTCCCCGGAATTGCCCTATCTCTATCGTGCCCCGTTTATGCTATAACCCTAATCGTGGAGGACGAAAATTGATCGAAGAGCTCAAGACTAAGGCACTGATGCCTCGGCCTATGGCGAATTCCTAGTTGATATGTTGGCAAAATTTCGTATGTATTTCATCGGTGGTGATTCTTCGCAGGTCGGATTTTTGGTGCCCTTGGCACAGATGTAGACAAAGGAAGGCCGATACTTCGACTATAATTTCACAGCATATAAAAGTTGCGGTAGGACGTATGTCCACTTGAAACTTAGGTTTTGTGTGTGACTTGAGGATTTCAGAGCGCATCGTTAGATGGTGAGGCGATTATGGAGAGTGTCGCGAGTTTAGATTACATAGGAAAGAGCCTCCAAGAAGATTCGAGATAGTGAATGTTGTCAGTTGTTTAAAAACGAACATCAGAAATATCTGATCCTGTCTGCAGTTTATATCTGTGGTGTAAATGTTCAGGTAAACGAGAGAATGAGTACATTATATTTATTTATAATATTTGATGTCTTGCCCGCGCACAGTACGTGAGCTCCTCACATACCGGTTAGCACAGTCTAAATTAAGCTACCCGACGTGTTGGCGCCCACACAGACCCAACAAAGCAAACAATAGCTAGGATCTTATCATCCTGCGCTCGAAGATTATAGTAAACATGGATGTCGTTTGTCCAATGAATATGATGATAAACAGTTGGCACTTAATGAAGAAAGCCCGAATTTTTTTACATCAATTCGTGATTCCGTTCGAATCAGAATTGTCGTTATGCCACTTCGAACAAAATTGTAGCACGCACCCAGCTATTAAATGCATCAACTCCCCCCCCCCCCCGAAGCAAGGGCCCAAGATAAGCTGGGATCAGAATTCTGTGCCCTGTGGAGCTGAGCCTGGTATTGCCCGAAGTGGCAATAGAAAATTGATTTGGGGACCTCTCTTCTCCGCATGTGCAGGTTAAAATGGCATTTTCGTGCTGAAACCATCGGTGGTAGTCTGCGAAGTCGCCATTTCCAGATGGTGCAGCTAATAGATATCCTAGTGTGCGTCGCCCTAAACGAGCGAGCTTAATGGTGTTCTTAGACTTAGGGCCAATACCTATTTCTTTACATCTAGACGGTGCGTTTTCGGCCCAATAGAGTGCAACTGAAGCCCCGTATTGGACTTTGACTTCTCTCTTTGCCCTCGAAATGGAGAGTTCTAAGTGTGGAGTTGGAGCCGCACAAGCGGCTTTAGCAAGCGCGTCAGCTGCTTCGTTCCAGAGAATACCTGCGTGGCCTGGGTACCATCGGATAGCCACTTTCCCAGGCGTCGTATTTTGACCGCGTGATCTTCTTTTCCAATTCGTTGCGAGCTTGCGAAAGATTAATATTTCCGCCGAGCTGGACGCTGTGGGCGTAACCAAGAGCAGACGGATAACAGCCTCTTTGTTTTCAAGGTAGACAGTGACGTTAGAGGCATAATAGGCCAGTGGATTGCGAAGAGCTGCGGCAAGACCTTCAGTGGCCCCGGCCATTTCTGCATCATACACTTCTGCCGAGTTTCCGAGCGGGAGTGATCCTCGCCCAATCTCCTGCGTAAGACCTCGGTAGATGACATAGCCCGCACCTGCTCGGTCTGCTATGAAGGCTCCATCTGAAAATACGAATAAGTCTAGAATGGGTCGAGCAGCCTGCCACTGTTTGAAGGAATTTGATCCCGAGAGTCTCCCTTCTGCCCTAATTTCGATTAGCTTTTCCTCACGGGGTGTCGACCATTGTGGGGGAATGGTATCTTCGGAAAGTTCTGGCGAGATTCTTTGACGGATCCAGCGCATGCGACAAGTGTTCCATCGCCTACGAAGAGGGTGGTACGGGTCAGCTGCAGCGATTCGAATCGCTAGACGACTGTGAATTCGGGAGAGCCACGTCTGGGCTGGGCCTCAGCCAGCTTCCCGTAGAAGTGCTGCTATTGGTGTTGTATGATAGACCGAGAGGGCTGCCCGAGCTGCATCGTTCATCCTGCGTTGGAATTGCGATATTGTCTTTTGAGATATCTCTTTGGAGTACCAGGTCTTGGCCTCATAGAAGAGGGTCGCAAATGCGGCACTATGTAGAGCTTGTCGTAGAAAAAGAGGGCTAATTCCTCGAGTAGTGGTTGAGAGTCTTTTCAAATGGCTCGTGATATTTTGGGGTTTTCGGCAAGCCTGTAGGGTTTGAAATTGGAATCGAAGTGCACGGTCAAAGAATGTTCCTAGCCAGCGTGTATGATCAGTGGGCGTTATGATTGTCCCTCTCATATTTAGAGCAGGCTCTATTGGTGATCCCTACTTCCGGTGAGAGTATTGCAGCTCAGTCTTAGGAAGTTCGGAACTAATTCCGTTAGTAAGTCCCCATGCTATAGTGCTGTCCAACTTCTCCTGGAGTTTGCGTGCACATTCGACAAGGGAGGCCCCAGACGCAAAGAGGGCAATGTCATCTGCATAGCCAAAGCGGCCAGTGGAAAGACTGTCACGGGACTAAGTACCATATTAGGTTAGTGTGAAGTGTTTGGGTATTTGGTTCTTTCTCGTGAACGAAGACATTTACCCTCCCATCGCACAACACAGTCATATCCTTGTTACCTGTCCTGATTACTTACCATTGTGACTTATTCCTATTACGCATCCAGAAAACCAGATCCACCGTTGTGACAAAGACGTAGTGCCTCTTCAATAGTCAGAAGAAAGAGAATTGGGGAAACTGGTGAGCGCTGTGGGAGACCTCAGTGGGTTTGGAAGGGCGGGGAGGTCGTATCTTCAATAGAGATTGTGGATTCTCGCTCTTCCATGAAAGATGCTACCCGGCGAGCCACGTTCGATGGCCATCCTTGGATTCGAAGTCTATGGCAAAGTCGTCCTTTCTGGATACTGTCAAATGCCCCTTGGACATCAACAGTCACTATACCAGTTACTTTCTTTTCCGCCCATTTTGCCTGAATATCACAAGCGAGAGCTGTGGTAAGGACAGAAGCGGAACGAAGAGGGATGGCACTGCATTGTTTTTTGGCGAGTACCCGATATTTCAGAGTTATGTATGAAAGTCGCCGTGCTATCAGTCTCTCGAAGCCTTTACCAAGGCACGAAGGAAGAGAAATTGGTTTACTGATTTCGGAAGGACAATCACTATTAACTTCTTAAAGGCTAGCGGTTGTATGCCTAGCTTTTCACACCGGTGGAAGAGCCCGGGCTCATAACCTATTGTGATTAAGGT